CGGGCAATAACAGTCAAGTATAAAATTGACATCTTAGAGCGCATTCTCAACGAATTAAGCCAGGCTTTACAAAGCCGGTGACCTAAAAATGGCGGACGTACATGAAAGAAAAACCGCCTAATCTTTTAATAGTCTCTCCGCCTCTCACACGTCTCCCCACACGTCGTCCCTGCGGGGCGGGGGGGGGGGGCAGTCATTAAATCTCGGCTCCATTGGGACGACACATGGGGAGGCGTGTGAGAGACGGAGAGACTACTAAAAGATAAGGCGGTTTTTCTTTCATGTACGTCCACCATATTTAGTCCCCAGGATTTGTAAAGCCTGGCTCAACTCGTTGTGAATGCGATCTAAGACATTTGTTTTAACAACTTGTTGATGCATAAGTGCAATCATAATCATTATTATTACTATTATTATTATTATTTGTCTTTTTAACTTACGAGATATAATGGATTTAAGAATAGAACACATGTACTGTAGCATACCCATAGAAAACGCTATCATTTTGTCCGACTTGACCACTTTACCGTCGCCATCCAGCCATCTTTCTGGTTTGAACTTGTAAGGATCTTCGAAGTTATTCTTATCGTGGAGAACCCGGTACAGATCTCCCACTATTATCGTTCCCTTGGGAATGGTGTATCCTGCCAAGTTGGTTGTTTCACTGGTAGCATGGGGCCCACCTAGCGGAACTGTTGACATGAAGGAAAACAGCTATCATATATCAAGCTGGCATAATTGACTGATGGGGCAGTGGGGGGAGGGGGGAGGGATATATATTAATTATATCAATTTCCATTGTCCTGAGTGTTCTTAAACGAGTGTCTGCATACATGTACTAAAGTACGTATGTTAAGATACTTCATGGTATATTACCACTTCATGGGATAAATGCTCTGATTTTTACTGTCAAATCGACTTCATAGGATAAAATGCGACTTCATCTCCACATAAGATATTGTCTGCGACTTCATGGGATAATGATTAAAAAGTACCTGTTGTTGGCCCAACCGCTATGAGAGAGAACGTTTTTGTACTGTAAATATTATCCAAAATAGGTAAACTGTACGTTTCAATTTACTTGTATGACTGAATAGGGTTTCTTAAGTGGTATTGGATGCATGTTTTGAGTTATTTGAAAATACACAGGCATATGTAGGTGAGGATCCAGTATTTCTAAAAATCAGTACATTATGGGAGATTGTGGTCAGCGTTGACAAAAATGGGGTCCAGACCCCCTGGGCCCTCCCTTCCCAGATCCGCTTGATGCATAAAACTAATGGATCAGGTAAACCAGGCTATGAAAACAAAATTTACGCCTAGGTTACTGGATTGTAAGATGGATAAATATACAAATAGGAGTCAATTATTAAAGATAAATAAATAGATAATAGTGTTGAAAAAGAAGCAGAGAAGGTCGTGTATATAATTGTGCTCTACAATTATCTTGATCTAGTCGCGTCCCACTCTGAAAAGACTAATTTTTCCATGAGGAAAGACACGCGCAAGTGTAATGATTTACGTCGGCGTTCGGAGGAGGGAGGGGGTAGGCCTACTTGTTGTTTAGCAGCCTAATTAACGTAGTTGATCTGCGAGATCAACAGGCTTGTAGATTGATATTTATTCAGAATTGTGGTTGATTGTAATTTTTACATCGTAATTTCTGCTATCTACCCGTAGATCTTTAGTAGTGGGACTTTGCAGTCCTTGGGGGGGGGATATTTTTTATATCGTTGTTACTGGCATCCTCTATCCATTAAAGTGAGGAACACGAGACGTTGGGGATATTTAAACTTGCCATTAGGAATGTGCACGTCTTTTGGATTTTTGGTGACTTTGGTGACCGAGGGGTGGTTGATTATTATCTTTAAATTGTATTTTCTGCTATATACCCATAAGTCTTTAGGTTGAGGAAACTAAAATGTCGGGGTGTGCATAGGCAGTTT